TAAAAATAACCATTTTTTCATGTTTTTTTTTCTGATGCTTTCAAAAATGATAAGGATTTTACATTTTGACTTCTCAAAAATGCTAACTAGATTCACTTGTAAAGATGTTGATGCCGATAATCGGAACTTTTTCATTATCCTTAATGTTGATAAAATACAGAAAAAACACACATCGTTATATCAATTCACTCGCTACGCTCAAAATCTAAAACTGTATTTAAAATATATTTATATATATTAAGAGAGGGAACACAATACAAAATTCATTTAATTGCAATCAGATTGATATAAAACGTGTTTTTAGGAGTGTATTCACCAAACATGCTCACCACCCACTATTTTTCTTTTAACAATGAATTTACTCGAGTTCTGTTCTTGGGTCTTTTAAATATAATTAAAATCCATATTTTCACATTATTACTGAGAATTTTTTCATACTGTTTAAGGATTGTATGTGTTTTAGCGGTACAAACTTCTGATTTTTAAATGAAATCCCGCACTTCTTTACTGTAAATTATTTAGTAAAAAATGTTATTGAAAGTTTTGACGCGGATAATACCAAGATACCAAGAACTAACTTTAAAAAAAATAAATTGATATACATACGTTAAGAATATTAAGGAGAATCATCTTTGACGTAAATCTTGATTATGACTGTGTCGTATTTATGTTCTTATATATATATATAGGTATATACTATATATATATATATATACATAAATATGTTTCGCAGACGAAATCACATGTCTTGCGGTTTGATGCACCAAACTTTAGGCGTGTGAAATGTGAATTCTTATGCACATTGCATCATTTATATACCTATATATACCCTTCCGTAAACGACGAACAGGAAAAAAACTACTTTTAAAGGCTTAACTCTGACGTTACTTAATGACACACGTGCGTTCGATCTCTCTATATATATATTGTGTGCAAATACCATAGCCCGCGTGTGGTAATACTTGCGAACCTATATATAGTATATATTAGTATGTATATATACTTCTAAGATGTATGTATATAACTTTCGCCGTTCATCACGACTCGCTTCGTCCTGTTCTTCCGACTTGCGTGTAGTTCGATAAAAATTTCATTATAAATCCGTCGTATACACATTCCCTCGCGGCTCGCGAGCACAACACGCTCGTGGTGAATACTATATGTATATATATAATATATGTACGAATCGTGTGTTTGTTGCACTATTAGAAAATTCCTCGTGGATACCATTTTATGATGGGATTTTTTTTTCGTTTCCATTACTATTACTATTATTATTGTTTGTATATATTTTTATTGTTCGACGCCAGTGCGGTAAAATCGCGTTCGACTCCCCTAAAATGTCATCCAGTGACAGGTGCCCGGCCTCGTTTAGAATTGACTAATGTATAATTTACTTTATATATATATATATAATATGCCTACAGCATATACACACACAATGCGTAGGTATAGGTGCTAAATGCATAATGTATATTTTTACCTATAGTACGATATTGTCGATTTGTCATATTGCTGTGCGTCTGATGTTCGTGTATCAAACGAAAATTAATTACTCGAATACACTTATGTCTATATTTCTATTATATTCTATGCGCCTTTCTACGTTCATCGAGGTTCGTGTTATTTCATTACCGGTATAGTGGTTTTATTTTCCTATATATATATAGTATGTACATGATTGCTACATATTAAGCACCTATATACKCGTCTACTATTATGAGAATAAAATATTATTTTATGAAACACAAATTTGACTGTGCCTATATATGTTTGAGATGTTTTCATTTATTTTGTTATAAAATTAAATTATAGCTTGATGAACATAATATATTAATTATAAGCGCTTTAAATGTACATACATATTTGTATTTCATCAGTGCATCTTTCCGTATTTATTCTTGTTCTCTATATAAGTTGTTATGGACGTCTATACCTATAAATTGTATTGACGTTGCAAAACAAAAAAAACTTTTTAATTCCAATCGCTAACTTGCATGACGTCCATTGCTTTAGAATTTATACGATACAATAAGTATAAGATAGGATGTCGGCGGATATTCCACCCACTTTGCAAACTTTGACATCTTGGGGACTCCTGTGGTGCGTACTCCTTGCAGCCGCGGTCAAAATCCGCTGTATTATAATAATATGTCACACACACAAATATTTAATATAGATCGGTGCGTCTCGGCCGTCTCGTTCGCCGTTTTATATATAATTATACGTCCGTCATCAGTTGTTTAGGATTAGGAGTAACGTTGATACCGCTGTGATCGATCTCCTCCTCCACCAATGCCGTTTTGTCATTATAAACCTAGACCAGAAGAATCAGTATCCCGCAGCGACGTTCCTAGATCATAGGGGCGAGCCAGGCGAACTCCATGTCATATTATACCAAAATAATTTATCGGAACATCGCTATGGATGGCTCTTACTGATGATGTATTAGATTTCAACACCTGCAGTCGCTTCGAGCCTACGTGTTCTTTCAGGGAATTTTATTAGATAAGATTTATCATTTTCATTTGAAACAGTTTGTTAAAACTTTCTCTACACCTGCGTATTTAACGTTGAAATATCATTAAACAAAATTAATTTTGTGTATAATGACGATTTTCTGTAAGAAATTTTAATTTTTAAGTCTTACAATTATTCATAACATAACTTATTCTTGCTATTATTGAATAAGTTCAAATTTAAGAAAATAGGCTATAACAGCCTTAAAGAAATTTTTTCAAAGGTTTTAAACTAAAACTAAAAAGTATACCTACATATAGCTGCACCGAAACTATCCATCATATTATTTTACACTTTTTTGACAGCTTATAATTTTTTTTTTATATGTATTCTATTCATATTATACATACAATTATTTTTATAAACAATAATAATGTTGTGAATATAGAATGAATTATTTTGTAGCTATTTTTATAGCAGGTATATAATACCAACCTCTGCATGCTATGAATTGCATTTCAAGTAATTTCTTTCAAAMTCACAATAATGATAAAAAATAATACTACAAACATTAACTCCCGCCAAGATGAGTGAGACAAGATGAGTGCTCAACAACCAGACTTTTTATCCCTTCCGTAAATTTTATTTTATTTTTATTTTATTCACTGTAAAATGTTTCCCTTCACATTTTTCGCCAAGTGCATTTTAATAAACGTCAGAGGGAGATTAATGAATGTATCGATCGGTTTTATGCATTTTTTTTTTTCATATAAACCCCTTCATCTGCTKAATCTAGCACTTTTACGATGATGTGCGTGCAGATTGCAGCTCTTATGGAAATCTCATTTGTGTGGCAAAATTTCATATGAAAATAATATAATTCAGACATTAATTATTACAAAATATTTTAGTTATTAACATTATTTTTGTTCATAAATGTATAAATAATATTATTCTCTAATCAAATCTAATGTTAATTGAAAAACGTTTTCGATAAAAAAAAAGAAAGATTATCCATTAGCTGGAAAGTTCACACGTTTTATAGTTATTACTTTATTAGCTACCTAACTGCAGTTGTTTTAAATATTTTTAACATTTCATATACCTAAAATAGGTTTTTATGTGCACTATCTGAAAATTATAATGCATTTTTGTTCAACAATCAATTCAATTGTATATTTTAGTACAATAATTGTATATTAATGAGGTAACAAACAATACATTTATTCGCTGCGGTATCAAACACAATCGTTGCCTTATTGTTAAACAATTAACGAGATTGTCCAACATATTATATTGACACAATAGCATGTTAATATGCAACTAGAATATAAAATGAATATAGCTTAAGCTATAGTAATATAAAGTATATATACACTAGTATTATATATAGGTAAGTAATATATAATGCATACATTTTATAATTATTTGTGTAATATTGGTGTTTATATATTTAACTCAAACAAAATTGTATTGTCTTATGAGTGTTTAGATGACGTAAAAAACCACTCAAAAACTCAAAATTCAATGATAATTTGTTTTATTACCGTCAATTATTTTCGCGTCGTATTTAGAATTTATATTGATTAAATCCTTGCTAGAAATTTATTGTTTGAATTCTGCAATAAGCCACTTTAGGCATATCTATAGGTATATTTAGTATGGAGTTGTTGAGACGGTTAATTCGTTTTATATAGGTACCTAATTATAAGTATTGAATTAATGCTAAATGGAAACCGTCTTGGAGCGGTACAGTATTGATCGGAGAAATGCAATATGTTTGCACCATCGTGGGTCGAATGCAATTAAGTCACCATTGACCCTCATAAATTAAGTTATCTTCCTAAATGTCGTCTTTTGCGCGTACATACATGGCGTATGTGTATAATATTTTATGGCAAACTTTCATCTCTGATAATAATACTGTACCTATATAATATTGGCTTATAGTTATATGAAAAGTTACGGCCATTACTTAAGAATCTTAATTACAAAAAGTAAATATTATATTATTATATTAACGAGATCACGTGTATTGGTCCATCATTATTTCTATCTATAGATGTTAATCAAAAATTTAGTGTCTAAAATAAGTATTTGCAGCATATATTACCACTATAAATTATTGGCTCTTATATTTGTAATAACATTTTCTTATGTTTGTTTTTTTATTTTGAGTTAATGTGAGACAAAAAATGTTTTATAAATTATAATGATAAATGGTGCAATATTTTTCCGATGTCATATATCTCATTATTACATTAATTTGAAATAAATTTATTGACTTATAGGTGAACACTTATTTACATCCCACAAATAATAATGTATTTCATTAAATAATTACGTCTTTGTTTATTTTTATTGTGGGAAAAAATGGAATTTCATGTCGTTATATCATCGCGTTTGCTACCTAGGATATGATAATAATCGTTGTCGATAAAATAATTAATAAATGATAATATTCATTATAATTTATATGTATTATATTTTGGTAACGATATGTCATTAGTCTCGTTCGTTAATTTTTTTTTTGTGTCCAGGTTACTTGCTGACCAGAGTCGAGGGCAAAGTTGGTTCGCCCGAAAAACCGTTGTCCGATTTGGGTCTGATATCGTACAGGAGCTACTGGAAAGACGTGTTGCTACAGTACCTTTGTGACTTGGGCGGAAAGCAACTTTCCATTAAAGGTGAATATTATTATTGTTATTATGATTATGATTATGATTAGTATTTTTATTATTGTACATAGGCATTATATTCGTTTACGTCGATCTCTAGATCCGCGTTATGTGTAATTAGCTATTGCAAAAAAAAAAAAACTATCCTAATAAACCATCGTCTTTAGGTTATAGCGGTTCTTGCACCTATCTAAATGCGTATATTATAATATGTTTATACTGTCATCTCTCTCTCCTCCGGATGGACGGATTTTATCGACGGTCCCTTATATATACTTGTATTTCTGTGTCTGTGTGTGTGTTCTGGCACGTGCGCGCATGCAAAACGACGCGATGCCCTCGTCGTATATATGTATATAGTATATAGGTGCAAGTACGCGCATTTTATTATAACCCTTTTCTCCACAGACCGACGCCCACACACCCGCCATCCGTCGACGCCAATATTATTATCATCGGGGTGTAAAACTCATTGGTGAGTCGTATATACACCACCACCTACTCCATATATATATATACCTATGCGTGCACATACAATGCTTATACCCTTCTGTAGATTATGTATACGACGACGAAGAACTGTGTGTACGCACTGTGCACTTCGGCTCGTCGTAAAAACCTGCACACGCCGTATATAATAAGTTTTATATACAGTGTCGTAAAACGCGATTATTGCAGTTTCGAATAATCCCTTTCCTTTCGCCCCCATTCCACCCCGTACTCATCCAGCCTTGTGGATATGTGACATATATATTTAGACAGAGAGATCGCTGACCCCGTGCTTATATAGTTATATTACATTATTAATGTTGTGTGCGTGCGTTGCAGGACATAACCTGCGACAATATACAATTGTATACGGCGGCTCAATGAAGATAGACGTTTGCGCGTGACGGCCTAAAACCGGGCCACGGATTTATTATTATTATTTATATGGTGTGTTCATAATATTTTATGTGCCCCAGACTCGTCGGAGGTACTGGCCGGGGATTTTATTATTATACATATTTTTTTTACCCCTTGAAAGCGGATGAAAATTGTATACCACCGCATCGATCTTATTGCCAATGGGTTGTACAAACATAACAATACATAATACGCTCATCGAGTCGGAAAAATCGTTTGTTTGAAATAGTTTAATGAACTCCAATACTAAAATTGTTTAGTTCCAAACTCTAAAAGTTTATAGTATTATATTATCACATAACAGGCAGATATTTACGGGCGCATTTCTGTGAATTTATTATTATTGTTCTATACAAAACGCGTCGCTCGAAACGTAGCTTCTGTCATATATTATGTATGTTTAGATGAAAATGTTAAGCTAAATATTTCGCTTCTCCATTGGACAATGTGTCTTCTATCTTGTAATAGATTTACAGTTTTTTATGGGAAAGAACGAAACATACTTTATTTAATCAGTAAGTGATGTGCAATCTTTCAATACTATAGCTCTGATAACGGAATATTATTCAAATACCTATATAACGTGTTGGTAACCATAATATATTACTATATCATATGGTCTAGTAGTTATGTAATTGATTTTTTTTATAAATTTGAAGCCCAAAATGATAATATGTCTACATTGTTGTGCCGTATTGTTGATTATAAATCCTTTCACAATATTAAACATCTTTTGCTAGTGTACCTACTATTTATTCAGAAATTTTACTGTGGTATAGTTGATACTCGGTATAGACTATAAATTGTTTGTTAAGGTTTTATATTAGAAGGCTAATTCAGATGAAACTCAGATTACGCATGTGTATTGTGTAATTACTTCTAATAAGCCTCCGGTGAAACACATTTATTATTAAATAAATAAAACACATATACGGTATTKTCAGTGTTACGTTTTAAACTATCAAAGTTTTCTGATTAATTTACAAGTATAAAACAATTACCTTTCTGTCATCGCAAGTTTTATTCTTTGAACTATATTGTTTTAGAATTGTACGAATTCTATTATAAAAGTACAAATGTATTACGTGAAGGATTTGTAAATTATTAAAGCATATGACGTCATGTTTTTTGGTAAAACTCCAATGTATACTGTGGTAGAACAAAAAACTATTTTTGTTTCAATATATGGTGTATTTATTGTTATTGTCTACTTTTGGATAAAAAAACTATACTATATTAACCTGATTAGCTTAGAATATTTATCTCATTTGGCAGTGTCTCAAGAAATGCGAAAACGCGATATAGATACTTTGAATATTATACAAAATATGAAAGACCTCTCGTGAACATAATTTTCGTTATTGCTACAATTTCAGTTTTTTCACCCAGATTTATCTATATGAACGATAATTTTCTTAGATCACTGGAAAAACGGATTAAATATTAAGGATTTATTTTAAAATTTTGATTGATCGAATTTGTAGTCCTTATAAGTATATATAGTTAATAGTTAATAGTTTATTAGCTACTCAGACGATTTGAAAATGTCGGCTCCACTATACAACAATAGTTTTTCTCGCGTTCATCCTAAACACCTCTCTCCAGTTTAAATGAGCTTTAAAGTTTAAATGTTCAACTTAAAGTATAGTAAAACTTTACGAAACATCTCCCCGAAAACATGTAAGCCGAGACCCTTGTTAACGTAGTACTATATATTATGATCAACTTTTTGGAATATTTCCAAATGGGATTTTTCTTTAACCACTTATTTCATGACCTCGGAAATTGTATAAGTATTAAAAATACGACGTGAAAAATTTCACCAAATAACATATATGTATAAAAAAAAATAATAACTGGGGAGGTTGCTGTGAAGTATAGTTGGGTTTCGAGTAAGTCACTCTAATGAGTGTTTTGAATTTGAATTTAATGTTAAATTCATTGTTTTTACTATAAAAATTTTTTACTCGAGTAAAGATAGTTATCAGCCTTAACGTCTACAGAATAATTGATTTTAAGTGATAAGTATATTGATAGTTTTTAATTGCCCTATATAGGAATAAAAACTGTGAGATAACCATGTATTTAAGTTGTTTCAATTTTTTTTAACTCGCAAACAAAAATTTTATTATGTTCTATGCTCCTATAAATATCTGATAAAAATTTGAAAAAAAAACACACACACACACATATTCAAAATCCTGTAATACATTGTAATGTATATCATAGTAGGTATAGTAATAATACGAAATAAGTATTAAAAACAATAGAGCTTGTATACAAATATTAATTCAATATAATTACGTGTCATACAAATGTATATACTATTCAACCAGATTTTATTCAATCCCTCTTATATCTTGTTGTTACGAAAAAAAGCGTTTTCGGCTTTATTTTAATAAAACAAATTAATAGTTAGTAATCTAGTTTTTTATAACCATAATAATTATAAGCATACAAATACAAAATATACACAAACCCTATAATTTCAAATATTATTACAACAGTTTATTAAAATCATATTTATTTATATTGTTTTATTATCAAAGTTATATTTCAATACAGATATAAGTTATTTTTATATTTTTTAACTTCGTACTTCAATTTTAAGATTTTGAATTACATATTTTATTGTTTATTCGTATAATCAAGTCCTTTATTTTCTTTATGTAAGTACTTGTGTATTTTCTCATTCAACTTGTGTAACAGTACTTTCTTATTTTAACTTAGTAATTAATACATTTCATTAGAATTTTTAAGAAACAGCAATATATAGGTATACGTTTACAAAAAAACAAACATGCATTTAATTAATAATCATTTCCAACGAATCTAAATATTTTTATAGCTTCAATGCTACATAATATATTATTTAATAAATAATTAAACTTAGAATGTTCAAAATTATACTAATGAGCACTTTTACTGTAAAATCTTTCCTTCGTTAATAATTGTAATTCTTATAGACTCATAAAAAAAATATGTATTTCTTAATCGTTATATTTGCATATATTATAATTATTTTTTAATTACTCCTGGGTTAATAATAAATATAATAAATACGAAGAATAAAAAACATTTCGTCTTGACCACGATAGTTTTAATGATAATGTTTGTGAAATGTTGACCCCTAAGATTTCATTCACTGGCAAATTTCGTTAATTTATCAACGTCCTCAATTGATCCGGATTTCTTCATCGACGTGCATATACCATTGTTTCCGCTTTGCATTATGCAACGAAACGCAGTGCGTATGTATATGTCTTATGTCTAAATTACTTATTTGCTTTGTTGGATGTACCCTCGAATACACGATGTTGTGTACTATACAATATTGTTTACAGTATATTTCGTATACCTATATAATAATTTGTATTTTCCTCATTATCAATTAATTATATAATTCCATGGACGTAATGTCTTTATTGTATATCTCTAAAACTGTAGACGGCAGATACCCGATCCATCAAAATGACGTTTAATTTGAATTAAATATATTTGAGGGTCCAATCGTACACAGATATTAAACTATACACATAATGGTATACGTTTTATACAGGGTTCTGTTTAAAGTTAAAATTGTCTCTTCATAAATGTATATAAATGTATATAGGATAATATATCGTGACATCATATTAATTTAATCATAGGCGTCATGGCGAGTATCTCATATAAATTGGGATCAAATTTTGTAAGTAATTAATGATTCATTCATTCATATTAAAAAAAAAAATACTCGAAAAAGTATTTTATCTAACAAATAAATGTATGGATAATATTATAAATGAAACACTACTGACAATTCATGTGTGGAATCCACGTATCAGTGTTTTTTACCATTGTCATTGATAATTTTATGCATCTGACTGTTTTCAAGGGTTTTTTTATACGAGGTTTACTAATTCTCTTCCTTTGTTTACCTATTGATTACTGATGTTCTAACTTTACAAGACTATGTGTCTATGTCAATTACAGACTTTCGTGACCAATGTTATAGGCTAATACGTATATAAAGTGTGTTTCCTTTTAATGGTAACACTAAATAATTCTGTTCAGTGACATCGGATTAATATACGGATTTCGGGAGGGGATAGGGAATACATAAATACACATTTCTTGATGATTTTTACATTTTTAGATCTATCCGTGTGCGCATGCGCAATATAACTTGCATTTTTTTAAATGGCAACAGGTATTTTGAATACCAAATTCGGATAGACCGAATTTTTTTAAGTCGGTTTGGTCCTTTTTACCATAGCTCTAAAATCAAAATTGACTAAATGGCAACCAGTCAAAGTTTCGATTAATATTATTGAATTTTTCACCAATCATACTAGAATTTTATGAATTATTATGAAATTGTATTTATTATTTTTGTATCCGTAGGTTTGCAGATATTATTAAATAATTCAATAATATTAATCGAAACTTTGACTGGTTGCCATTTAGTCAATTTTGATTTTAGAGCTATGGTAAAAAGGACCAAATCGACTTAAAAAAAATTCGGTCTATCCGAATTTGGTATTCAAAACACCTGTTGCCATTTAAAAAAATGCAAGTTGTATTGCGCATGCTCTCACGGATAGATCTAAAAATGTAAAAATCGTCAAGAAATGTGTATTTATGTATTCCCTATTCCCTCCCGAAATCCGCATATTAATCCGATGTCACTGGACAGAATTATTTAGTGTTACCTTTAAAAGGAAACACACTGTATAATAGCTGGTATAAGACTATACACTCTTTAATTTTCTTTATATATTGACCTCTACGATTGTAAACGTTTGCAAACCTATACATATCAAGTGTGTGTTGTTAACTGTACCTACATATCATTATTATAATATTCTTTCCATATCAAATTCCACCGTCGCGTAATATATACTATTTTTCGCATGGCCGTGTTTATTGTGTATATAATTTTATATTTATGTATTAGGTATAGATCATTGCAATAGTCTACTATATATACGATATACTATCTGCCTTGGATCATATATAAATTGACAGAATCACGTGGGAAATGTATTGTAAACAATCGGTGAATGTAATTTAAAATTTTGAATTCCAGACATGAGTCAAGAACTGGCCATCAACTCCTATGATATAGTCAGCACGCTCCAAGCCCTCGGTATGATGAAATATTGGAAGGGAAAGCACATCATACTCAAGAAACAGGTAATATACACTCATTTTATTTGATTTCGGCGGGTCGGCTAATATAAAATTTATATATTTAACCTCCCAAACGTCTTTCCCTGCAAAGGCGACTTCCTCATCTTATTTTTAGTATATATATATATATATATATATGTTATGTGTGCATGTCATAATACAATCCTTTTAAACCGAAGCTTTAGAATAGCAATACGGGATTTTTTGTATAGGTAAGGCACTATATGTACATATTCACTGTTGTGGTACCGTAAAATCTGGATGCTGATTTCCGGTCGGAATATAATATACTTTTTCATACATATATAGTATATTATTGACTACTTCGGAAAAGTACAATACTACAATATAATATGGTAACGAATCTGTTCTTGTCGAAATATATGTTTTTATGGTATTCGCGTGCCATTGCCGTCCATTTTCATACTTCAATGAATAAAAAAATATTAAAATATTATATTTATCTATCGAGTAATTACTATCAACAATTAAATAATCACTTAACCAACACCAGCTATGGATGCTGTCTTATTTATACAATATGATACATTTTTTACCCTTATAATTAATATTATTGTATTTTAATTATTTTTACTAATAATATACTGACACATAATCAGTGAATATATATTATATAGTTATTATAACCAATTATATATTATATAACTATATAAAGATACGAAAGGTATTTCACATATTAATAAATTTTTTTTTAAATTAAGTATATAGGGTATAGGTATGTGAACAAAAATATTTTCAAAAATACATAAAATTACTGTAACTATTTATAGTAGTAAAAGAACCACATTTTATATACCTAATTGTTGTAATTGTACAGTTGTTGTATTATATTTTACTGTGTTGTGCAAATATATATATTTCACAGATTTATAAAATTATCATTTTCTGTATACATTTAATCTTGAAAGGTTATTTTTAAATGAAGAACCGTATTTTTCTATGCTTACATAAGATACGAGCTGAATTTGTGTAACAATGGACTTAGTTCTACTTCTAGAACATAGTACATTTTTGAAAGGATCTAGATTAATACTTATAAAAGAAAACTCCTTAATGATATTAAGAAAATAATATTTTCTTTATACTTATCAACACGATTAGAAATCTATATGCTCCGTTATAAAGCTTCTTATATTCCACTTAAGTTTTCTTTTCGTATGCTATTATTTTTCAGTCTATGATATTTGACTGTCTTATTGTAAAATAATTATTACTAATGTCTGAAACATAGTTCTTTTATTTTTACTGCCAAATTTGATCATAAATTATATACCTACAACACCTGTATGTACTTACTTCAATTTAATAGTTCTTAGTAATCTCTCGAGGTTGAAGGTAAATATTATATGCTTATTATATTTATGTATTGTACACTAATTTACGGTTGTTGTTTTTTTTATTTGGTAAAACGTTTTTCTGCTAAAATGTACAATTATAATTGTGTATTTTGTAGTATGTACAACTCGTGGAAATCAACATAATTAACTTCTCTATTTATGTACTTATAAGTTATATGTTTATAAGACATAATGCCTCGTAACTAATTTCCAATTTGAGTAGCTCAATTATTATAAATCATTTCTTTGATTATACATTTCTAATTAAAATTAACATTTATCTGCAGTTTGAATTTCTATTTTTGCAGAAAGTTTAGTTTTTTCAAGTTTTTTATCATTTATCTTTATTTCTTATTAGACATATTATCAGAGATTGACTATACTCTAAAACTATAATAATATACCCAATTTAATCGATGATGGTTTTGAAAAAAACGAATTWACATAACCCGTTTTTCCGGCTGTAGTTTGAGACGATTTATAATATATTAAGTATGTATATATGTATATATGTATATATGTTTATTTTTTGGGTGACGGGTGTAATTCAGTGGACAATAAACGTGTCACATTTAATATTATTAGGTATATTACAACGTACACGCACAATATAACATATATTGTGCGGTCAAGGAAAATACGGTTAACATTTTGAAAATATTGTACTGTTTCCACCGATTACTTATTGTAATAATTATTATCATTGCAATTTATTTATGAATAGTAATAAATTATATTAATTATAACAACAACAACAGTTGGAAATGATTATGAAAATTAAAGTTCCTCAGAAATACAGTAGAAGCTGTGGTCTGTTGTGTACTGGTCACCCGTCTCTCCTCTAAAATAGTTATAATTAACTTAAGCGACCGGTTCGTGGCCGTCTTGCCCTCGTTTTATTATTATAATGGTTATATTATGTTAGATAGTTTTACAATAGTTCAGTCACGTGTGTATTTGTGTGTGTGTACGTGCGCTTGCGCGCGTATTAATGTAGAATGGCTCATATATTACGTGTGCGCGCGCATAAAGCGGAAGTTCCGTTTTACACACACGCTGATACCCGAATTAGATGGCAGTCGACAAATCATTATTATTGTAGTATTAATGGGCTCGTCCGCTACCCTATGATTCGATGTATTATTATTGTGTAAAACACACATTGATTCTCTAATATTTGTCTAACTAATAAACGACCGAAATTATTTTCCTTAATGCTTCCGATATAAAAAATCAAAGGGGGTGGGGGGGGGCAAAAATCTGACCCTCCATAAAATAAATACTGTTCACAAAAAAAAAAATTGAACCGTAAACTCGTTTTGTTCTTTTTTATTGATCTTCAGATTTACGTTTTTACTGTTTTTAGTACCTATATATTATGTGTATTTGATTGTTTTTCTTGGTTCGCCTTAACTCTTGGATATTTACTTGGTCAATAAGACTATAATTATCTATTCTCGTTCAATTCTTGTGAAAAAATATTAATTATAGTTCCTCAATAGTGTAGTACCACCGTTTCTTACAATTCTAGTTTTTCTTAAGGTACAGACCTAAGTATTCAGATGTTTATGCAAATGTAGTATCTGCAATTGATATTTATAATTTATCTACAGTATTTTCTTTGTCTAATACTCAATCAATTTATTAAGTAAAAAGGACAGAACATTCATGATTAAGTAAAAACTGACAAAATTCTCATTCTTCTCAAGGTATAATATTTGTTCTTGAATCTTGACTGGCGCATACAACAAATGCAACCTGCATGATGTACCATGTACCTATTAATTATTGTTATAATCTTCAAGTTGTATAATGTTATAACTCAATTATTACAAGCTCGTATCAGAGATGATTTGTTCAGTTTTTTTTTTTATTCCCTTATATTCATGTACTTATACTTACTTTACATTATTTTTTCAATTTTAAAAACGATTTGCTTCTAAGGATGAGATATAGGTTTGCAATCATACGAATATGTTTATTTATAAAATGTCCACCACTTCACTACGATTTGTCGGCTTCTGGTATCAATGTCAAACTATAATTTAAATTGAATATAATAATTATTCTGTCGAGATACTTTCTATATATTTATATTTTTTTCGTATAATTTGTCATCTATATACTATTCCTACTCTATCGATTATAAAAAAATTTAAGTTAAATAATATTGGTTCATAAAGAAAGTTTTAATACAATAGTTGATATTGGCACCTACGCATAATTTAAAATTAAAGATAAAATAATCAATATAAAAAGTTATGTTTTGAATTCTGTAAGTATTAACAGGATCTTTATCTAAACATATATTATTATACGACGTTCAGTTAACAGGAACTGAAGTGATAACCGATTTAGATTAAGTAAAAAAATCATTTTATCCTTAAATCATATTAATTTAAAAGAAAAGAAATTAATAACTTTTACCCTTTTACCCTCACTAAATATGTTGTATTAAACATCTAGTGTCCTCTRTAAAACACAATTTAAAAACTACATTTAACTATTTAAGTATATAATGTATATTATAATATTTACTCTTGGTACATTTATTTATGTATATTGTTGCTAATTACAAACACTATACTCTTATAATACAAGAGAAAAAAATATATAAACCATACGGCCAATAACCAATTGAAACAAGAAAATCATACAATTTCCTTTCAAATAAAGAAAACCGGTAGGAAATATATTGTTGCACCAAACAATGAGCTGTAACCTGTAAGGTACAATAAATTTAAAAAAAAAAATCATATCGACAAATTTTAATTTTTGAAAACTGATTTTTAAGGTGAAATCTTTTAAGCATTTGTAAGTGAGTAGGAAAGTATCTATGACATTGAGTGAGTATCTGCGTTTGTACTGTAATACTTTTTGTCGAGTATTCAAATACGCATATTTTACAACACTGTTGGTAATGAACATTGGTAACGGTTTTAATTATTACCATCGCTTGAGCGTGGTAAACTTATATTTTTGATACTGTTTGGCGGTACATAAATCAGAAAATGTATAAATAGTTTCAGTTGCAGATATACACCCTGGCAATCAATGGTATACGTCTAACTCTGATGATTGAGAAAAATCAAGTGTCTATTGACACACAGTTTTGAACAGCTTTCGGCAGTTGATTAAATGTAAATCAATTGGCTGTTGACTTACAGTTTCGGTGAAAACACGATTTAGTATTTGTCCTTATTTAGCGCCCAAAACGAATTTAGCAACTAACTCAGGATTCTGAGTTGCTTGAACGGCTATAAAGGAGCGGATTACACGTGYTAGAAAAGAGACGATGGGTGGACGTCGTTATCGTTCGACTGTTGAGTATTTTTATTTTTCCCCCTGCAATGAGAAACATCAGTTGATCAGTTAGTATTTATTTTATAATCCAATTTCGCTTTGTCAATAACTAACTATCGATTTTTTTGTTATTATTATTCGTTAGGAAAATTATGATTTATTATTATAAATCATCATGCATGGCATCATAACGCGAATGCGTGTAATAATTTTTTTCTACACAATATTACAGTTTCTTCACTTCTTAGTTTTGTACAAAAAAAACTTTATTCCAAACTTTTAATATTCGTGGTTTTGCAGTTACAAATGAGAGATGAATTATTTTATGCTATCATTTTGGAT